CCCCCCGCCCGTCTCCGGTCCCCAGGTGTTCTGCTCTGGCTGCCCGACTCCGGTGCTCTCCTCGTGAACTCGTCCCTGATATACCGCCGTCACTGCTTCCACTTGTTTCTGTATCGCATCGGAACGAGGAGAAATATAGGGAGTGGCGATGAATTTTTACCGTTAACGTTTTCCCGGGCCATTTTCGGTGGGAATGACATCCAGCACCCGACTGGGCGAGACAAGGCAAGGCCCTTCTGCGTTGACCCGTTCCGCAAGCAGCAGAGACTGTGTGTGTGTGTGTGGGGGGGGGGGGGAGATGAGTCATGAGTTGTCAGCCCGTCATAAATATGCGTTTTATGTCACTTTGTCTGTGGGCGCCTTAGTATACCGGCATTTCATCGATATTGTACTTCGGCCATGAGTTGGGCGCGCACGGGCGGCCTGCATGGAGCACTGCTGCGGGCTACAGAGCCCTACACTGCGGGTCTGTGCGGATCAGGGGGCGGGGCCCCGCGGTCCGGGTGACCCTGTGATGTGGGGGCTGATAAACGAGTTCACGTGTGGTTTCGAGAAGAAAGTTTGGATCGTCGTGCCGCCGCCGCGAGGGCCACCGCTCCGGGCCAGATTAGGCGTGGTTCGTGATAGGACTCGGCGATGAGGCAGGTAGAGCGACTCTGCCTTGGAGGGGAGCTCCGTGGAGAGACTCCAGGTTTGCACCTACAGGCTTTGCATACTGAGGCGCTTATCGTCTACTTGCAGACGGTTTGGATTGAAAATAGTTGCCCACGACACAGATTTATCAGGCTTTCTTGGAACGCATAAAGGGGCGTGTAAACGAATGCCCCCACCCCCCAAAAAATAGAAATAAAAATGGAAAAAAATATAAATCGGATGCGCACCTGTTTGACTAGGTATCATCCAGCGACTGCGTTCGTTATTCGCCGTTACAAACCTGCCTCATCTGAGCCGCTGCAAGCTGCCATAGCGCCTTGTGGGTAGGCAACATATTGCCTGCGATGCACGCCTGTACTGCCGGGTGGCCTACCCCGGATCTCGCAGGCGCTGAGCTCCCGCAAATTGCCCGAACGGATCCGAGACAAACGGACGTACTTTCTGGACGATCTCCTAGCCCGGCGAAAGATCTAACAGGATGGATGGGGACGGCACCAGCCTGTCGCACAGTACCCCTGGATGGGGCGTGGCGCTGCGGGCGCTGCGTGGACACCGGCGGCCAGCGCCGTGGCGCCGCCGCGCCTAGGGAAGACCACCACGGCCGGTCCGGTCGACTCGACAGCGCCAGCAGAGGCAGTAGCAGGCCGCGTCCCTGACGTCCCTGACACGGATGGAGCCACCGGGGTGGAGGGGGGGAGGGAGGAGAGCAAAACTGGAAGGCATGGGAGATGTGCGTTGTCCCGCCCGCAGCCCACTGAGGCAGCGCCCGCCCCGCGCCCTGCTGCGGAGGGCTCTGTGCTGTGGAAAGGAAGGAGGCACGTAGCACCCTGGGCTGACTTCCGCGCGCTATTTCCACCGCGGGCCCGCGCTGGCCGGCGTGCAGAGGCAGAGGCCCTATGTTGGGATACCGGGCGGGTGGTTGCTTAGTAAAACAAGCTGCGTTGTCAAGTTGCTGAATCTGAAAACCGAACTCCGCCAGGCAATAAACAAAACTGGTCGTATGCAGGGTGAGGGTGGTATGGTGAAGTGGAAACCCCCTCAGCAGCCTACTTCAGCCCCGCGCCCCTCCTATCGGCTAGCTAGCGGCCGCGAGGTGGTGCAGAGGGGGGTGACCTCGCCACCCCTGTGCGACTCGCTGGCGCCAGTGACGGACGGCCTTGAAAGGGAAGGAGAGGGGTTTATGCCCCCCTCGCTTGC